TGGAAAGCTTGAACCAAGCATCTGCGCTGATCTTGCAAGCATCATGACCCTCATGAAGGAGGGAGCTTTATCTCTGCCCCGCATCTAGCCCGGCATCTCTTCCATGGGTTCGCCTTTACCTAACATGAACACGTCAATACGTTTGCATGGAGATGCATCTGAAGATGTCCATTGACCAGTCCCGTCTCAGGGACCTTCTGTCGGTGTGGCCAATCCGTAGACGATAAGCCTGGGAGCTGGTCCCAGTCACTGCGTAATGCTGCTCTAGGCCTCCATGCGTGGAGAAGAGCTGTCGAGCTCGACGGCCAATCTTTTCTAGAATCTCTCGGACCTTGCAGCTACCCGAGAGTTCTGTTTTAAAAGCTCAGTCTTCGCCCGCACGAAATTTTGCCTGATCTATTGTAGCCATTGACAAAGATTCGCGCCAATCGACCGTCAGCAACATGATTTCCCGGAGTCTTCTCGCCCTTGCCCTCACGGCAACCGTCTACGGTCACGGAGACCATGACCAGAAGTCCATGTCTGGACCTCACCAGTCTCTCTGGTACAACACTCTGCCGGGTGATGGCGGTACTCAGGTGCGCAGAGCAAAAGTATGTGTGTCTACATCACGTCACTGACAATACCAGGCCGACTCCGTGTTCTCGGGCATTTCCACCTTCGGTCGTTTGCCTTACCAGCCGTGTCTGGCGCAGGGCAACGTCCAGTACGATATTGCCTTCATTGGTAAGCACGTCGTTTATTGCCGGTTACTGGAGCTACGCTGACTTTGGAAAGGTGCTCCCTTCGACACCGGTACCTCCTACCGCCCCGGTGCTCGTTTCGGACCTTCCGGTATCCGTCAAGGCTCTCGTCGCCTGAACCTCTAGTAAGATCCATATGAGGGCTTCATCACAACACTATCGCTGACTCTCTTCAAGCGGAGGGTACAACGTCCCCTTGGACACGAACCCTTTCAACAGCTGGGCTACCGTCCTTGACTGTGGCGACATCCCCGTGACCAGGTATGTCTCTTTTGGCAATATCCCCGCTTATACTTACATCGAAATAGCTATGACAACACCTGGGCTCTTCACCAGATCGAGGAGGGCCACTTCAACATCCTCACCCGCAAGCCTGCCACGGATGCGGCGAAGAAGGGCCCGGCCAAGAACTCGCGGACTCTGCCCCGTGTCATCACCCTCGGCGGTGACCACACCATCACCCTCCCCCTGCTGCGCTCCATCAACCGTGCCTACGGTCCCGTGTCCGTCATCCACTTTGACAGCCATCTCGACACCTGTGAGTACCTTCAGCAGATGAATCGCTTTCTGAATGCTAAACAGAGTCAGGGCGCCCCAAGGTCTTCGGCGGCTCGCCTTCCGAGGTCGCCAGCATCAACCACGGCACCTACTTCTACCACGCCTCCCAGGAGGGCCTTCTCCGCAACGACTCCAACATCCACGCCGGTATCCGCACCACGCTCAGCGGCCCCAGCGACTACGAGAACGACGGCTACTGCGGCTTCGAGATCGTCGAGGCACGCGAGATCGACACCATCGGCACCGACGGTATCATCAAGAGAATCATCGACCGCGTCGGCACCAAGAACCCCGTCTACCTGTCTCTGGACATTGACACCCTCGACCCCGCCTGTAAGTGGGCAAGTGCTTCGTGTTTTGTTGTGTAAAGGAACAAGTCATGCTGACCGGCTTTGCGCAGTCGCCCCTGCTACTGGTACCCCTGAAACTGGCGGTTGGTCTACTCGTGAGCTTCGCACTATTCTGCGTGGACTTGAAAGCCTCAATCTGATTGCTGCGGACATCGTCGAGGTTGCTGTAAGTTTACCCCGTGCGGTTGTAATGGTTGTAGCGGCCCCTGAGACTAACACGTCGACCCACACAGCCTGCGTACGACACCAACGCCGAGCACACCACCATGGCCGCGGCCGACGCTCTGTACGAGATCATGAGCATCATGGTCAAGCGCGGACCCCTCAGCGCCATGGTCAACGAGACCGAGTCTGCTTCGGAGGAGTTGTAATCACATAATATCCATCCTGGAGACCTAGGGTGTCGAGAATGGCTCTGTGGTCAGATATGATTCTTGGCAGCCTAGTGATGAAGTTTCTATGACAGGCGTTGGTTGGTGGGTGGTGGTCAGAGGAAAAGTTGGTGATTGGTGTCGCGGCCGGTGGGTTGTTGTCATGTTTATCACGAGTCTATGAGAGAACAAATAAAACAAGTCGAAGAAATGATCCGCTCCTAGTATTATTGAAAAAGAAGACGAAGCGACGGCTAGAGCGAAGACAACAAAGACAATCATGAGCATGACAGAGAAAACAAGGATGAAAAACATGAAGCTAAACCATGGGAAGAAGTCGCTACAGTACACTTAACGAGGTCAGTCTCATCACTGAATATCACCAAAAAAAAAACATAGGTCGTAGAGCATCGACAACTCTTTTGCCTCCAAAGATTACTTCATCGTGCAAGCTAACATCAATCGCAGGAGGGGCAGCAATGACATCACCCGAAGTCGCCAATTCTCCTTCACACGTTACACACCCATAGCCGTGGCAGGTCAGCTGAGAGCAAGAGAAGACAGGACTGCCCTCCCACCCCGTCATGCTGGCCATCTCCCTCAGCTGCCAAAACCCAACCCGCGTCTGGAATGTGTAGCGCATCGGAGCCCGCATCGCGATTTGGGGGCCGAGGGAGAGATGTTAGAGTTAGTGGGGGGTGGGGGGCAGCACGGACGGGACCCAAAGGCGCCTCCACGCTGCTGTGTGTGTTTTCGGTAGCGGCGGGGACGAATCGGACAGGGCCTCTTGAGTGGTTTTCTATTTTCGTTACAGGGTTAGGCTGGTTAAGGGCAGGGGGGAAGGCAGGGAACATTCCAGCGCGCTGGGTGCGCCGGTGGAGGCCAACTGCCCAGGCATGCCTTTTCTTTGCTCTTTTGAAGTACGCGAACGGCGAACATGCAAGTTGCATGATTTCAATAGTATCGTCGATGGCGTTGGTGCGGACAGAAATGATGGCCGCAGCCAGCAGATCGTGTAAGTGAGTCAAGGATAAGAATAGCATTGTGCCATGCTTTCACTCAACGCCATCGAGGCTTGTCCAGCTGAAAGGATACGATCAAAAAACGTTGGTTTCTTCACGGGTCTCGCCACAAGTGTCAAGCCTCAAGCTGAATCGGCACCGCGGGCCACGAGGCGGTGCCTTCGCTAGCTACCTTACCGAGCGTCCGTCGTCGCCGTAGGTTAAGCAGCTGTCAAACCGTCTACTCGTTCTCATTCGACAATCTCGCGATCTCAGCTACATACTGCGCAGTGCCACAGCTGGGCAGCTACAACAGCAGAGTTCACGGGGCAAGAAGCTTAGCATCTGTCACGGCGAGAGAAATCTCAGATCCGGTCACGTTTGCTTCTCCGTGGCAATGACGCAGACCACACTGCGCCCAGCTCCGAATGCCGGATCATCCGCGACTGCTCCGTCCCATCATCCAACCTTGGCGACTCGGAGCGGATAACGGACTTGGTCGAGAGTCATTCCTTGCGCTGATGACCCATGGATGATGAAGAGCCTGCGACGGTGGGTGGCTTGAACGCCTGCACGTGTTGTCGCCGCGATTTCTCGTGGAGGCGATGGTCATTTGTTTCCGGGCGCGAGGGAGAGCATCTTCGTCCCGGCCACCTGCAGGTTTGCGTTGTATGGGCTTGTCTCACTCGGAAGCGGGTGCCCGGTGTTGGAAATTGCCCGTCTGCAGAGTCAATGTCTGTGAAGACTTGAAGATGGCGAACGGTTGCAAATCTAACCAAAGACGGCTCTTCCCGGAGTTGGATGACCTCTCCAGTGTCCTGGCGTATAGTCCCACACGTGGAAGTCTGCTCCTCGCCTTATGTAACTGACAACATTTCTAAGGAACTGCAAACTACCAACCGGTCAGTATGGAAGAGATTTGAAGGCATCTCGGAGATGTGACGGGCCGGAAACGAGATTCTGGCAGTCTCTGCAGAATGCGTAGCCACAAGGGGTTGGATTTCCGTTTCGTGATGTCAGCGACACGGTCATCCTCGCCGTCTCTCCTCTCGTTTTCCTGAAGGCGAGACATTGCGATGTGGGTTTCCCTTGCCTGCCACTGGCATTCACTGACCCTCCCAAACGCAAAAAATACCTTGTCCCGGTCCATCGGAGACTTCTGCCGAGATCCTGGTTGCAGAAACATCTCACACCATCGTTTCCCGCATATCGCACCCAGGCGAGGTAGACCGGCGCGAAACCTACACAAACGCTCTCGGACACATTCTAGTCAGCCAGGTACGGCTCTAGGCTAAGATTACACAAAAGCCGATATTTGAACGAAATCTATGAGGAAAGGAAGATAGAAAAAGAACGACCGAGAAATGTGAAGGGCGGCCGTATCTGTCAGATGCAAAGTCCGCACAATAGACCGAGGAGCGCCCCGATTTCGTCTCATCGGGAAACCCGCGTGCGCCGCTACCAGCCTCAGTCCAGCCCGGCTGCGCCAGTACCGTCAACCTGTCCCTTTCTCGTGTCTCAACGCTTCTTGTCTCTCTCCGCGACTCCAGCTGTTGCGTGGATGGGTGGACAGGCTTGCCTTGTTTGCGTTGCTTGCTTGCGCTAGCTCGCCCATCCCAGCCTCTCCATCCCACGCGCGCCCGAAGATGGCTTCCCGATGTTTCTTCTCGCCGTCGTCGCGACTAATAAGCTCACACCATCTTTCATCGTTTATATATGGATGCCCTTGCTTCCAACACACACCCTCGCTTCCCCGAATGTTTTCACCATCCCATCTTCACTCTCGTCAGTTGCATCATATTATAGCATAAGCATCACATCACTCGTTTTTGTGTGCTTTGCTTTATATATACTACCTGCCCTCTCACTTACACCGTTCAGTTGTCGTTCTTCATAACTATTTCAACACTGCGCAAGGAAGCAGGCATCCACTGCAAACCACAAAAGATGAAGACACACACCTCCATACTGTTGGCCATGTCGGCCCTGGCATCAGCCGATTACACATAGTTAGTCCCTCTCTCCCTTCCATCACTCCATATCCCTCCCTCCACGCCACTAACACGCAACGCATAGCAACCAAACAACGGGCGTATACACCTGCTCCCGCGCCAACTCCCAATGGTGCGCCGGCGACTCCTTCGGCACAGACATCATCATCCGCTGCAACGCCCAAGGCAAGGGGCAACCGGGCCGCTGCACAAACAACCTCGCCGGGGAGTACCCCCGCGGCGTCCAGCCCGCGCAGTGCTGGATGAGCAACGCCGACGCGGGCGATGCCGCCTGCGAGAAGAACTGCGTCGTCTACGCCAGCCCTCAGCCCTTCCTCCTACCGCCCAGCGTGTGCACTCCGTACTCCGCCGTCACGGGCTCTCAGACATACCCCGTCGGGAGACCTACTGGTAGCATGGCCCCCGGTGGTAATGGTACCGGTGCTGGCGGTGGACGCGGCGGCGGCGGTTCCATGATGACGAGGAGCTCTTCGACGTTTGGATTCACTTTCCCCATGCCTGAGCCTACTGGTCCTGGTACTGGCGGCGGAGGTGGCGGCGGAGGTGGCAGCGGTGGTGGAAGCGGTGGTGGTGGTGGCGGTCGCGGTAATGGCACTGCTCCGACGACTTCTCGTGGTAATGGCATGGCCCCCTCGATGTCTCGCGGCAATGGCACTATTCCGACAACTGTCCCGCGTGGTAACGGTACTGCCCCAACAACGACCCCGGGCGGCAGTGGTGCTCCCGGAGCTCCTACCAGCAACCCCGGCGCACCTGGTACTCCGGGCCAACCTGGCCAGCCCGGTCAACCCGGTCAACCTGGACAATCTACCCAACCTGGTCAGTCTGGTCAACCCGGCCAGTCCACTACCCCTTCCTCTTCCGCAACTCGAACCCCAAGCGGTCCCACAGGTACTCCGGGTTCTCCTTCCAGTACGGGTCCTTCTTCTGTGCCAACAGCTGGTGCCGCTCAGAACACCGTTGGTTATCTTGCCGTTGTTGGCGTCGTTGCTGCTCTTTTCCTGTAAACTCACTCTCTTGATATCCCGTACGGAGGAATTGTCGAATTATTGGAATTACAAGCCATTTATACACACATAGTACTGTTTCTTTTAATCATCGGCATCGTGGAACATGCTAGGATCAGGGCTGGCCACCAGGCGTATGGAGTTGTATTTATGCAGATCGTGCTGTAGTCGTGGTGTTACCTGATGCACTGCTGAAAAAGTCATTACCACTATTGCTGTCGTGTGTGAGTGGGAACAGTACAAACGAAGGTAACCTCGCCTTTTAATAAGAATCTTGCTAGCCGCACAGTGTTCTCTACAACTTCAATCGTAGTACAACTAATAAGGACGACGGCAGAAGAGAAAACCCTAACGGCGGTGGACGACGACGGTGGACGACGACGGAGGACGACGACGGAGGACGACGACGGACGACGACGACGGACGACGACGATGATAAAAACGACAGCAACAATGATAATGATAATAATAGCGACGAAAGAGAGTTAGAAAATGTAGTTGCGTGCAGTATAAGAAAGCATGTAGGTGCCTGCCTGGGCGACCTTGATGGAGATATCAACCTAGAAAAGAGGTTGCAAAGGTTTGCGAAAAGTTGTTACTGAGTCTTATGCATTTCGACAACTATAAACGAACAAGACCGCAAACCAGACAGCATATTTCACATTCTCGATTGCCTTAGCTTCTGCAACCCAACCACACACCTCGAACCAGCCGCATATCTCAAACTTCCAAGCAGCAAGATGGTACCAGCCGCATGCCTCAAACCAACCACAAATCTCAAAACTCTAAGCTGCAAGATAGCACAACCCACGCCGCAACTCGCGGGGATACTGAAACTCCCCCAAGAACTACTGTGGTCGATTTTGCTGCCGGACGTTGCCTACCATTCCGTCTCTCACGTATTCCAGGAAAAGGCGCCCGACGTGGCCAACCACGACCCAGAGTTCTTCCTGAGATGGAGGAGGTTCTGGAAGCTGCGCACCGTCTGCCGCCGCTTCAACGACTTCCTCTTTCCGTTGCTAAGCCATGCCTTCCGTCAAGAGGCCCTCAGCATCCTGGCCGCCACGGTTATCGTCGACTGCGCCCAGCACGAGCTCGGTTGGATAGGGGTCATCGAGGGCTGCTACCACCCACTACAGTCCCTCAGCCAAATCCTGGAGCGTTGGATGCTGGACGAACGGCAGAGGAACAGTTTCCTCTGGAACATGTACGTGGCCCTCAGAAATCCGAACCGCGTGGTCACCATTCGCGACGAACGCCTAATATTGGCGATGAACAATGACCGCGCGGAGAAACTGGTACTGTGCGCTTTCGACGACTGGTGCTGGCAGTATCGGGAAGACCTCCTGAGGCTCGGCGGTCCGACCTATTCGTGTATGCATTGGTGGCGCGGTGAGGATCCCGCGGGCTGCTATGCGTATAAGAAAATGCAGGAGGGTCAGATGCAGACCCTGGAATGCTTGCGTATGACGGTCGACCCTTTGGTCGACGATCTCATCAAGTTATGGTTCAGGACGGTGACCTAATCGTAGGAGGCCTACGAGCTATCGTCGTCGTCTATCGTCATCGTCGTCATTGTTGTCGTCTATCGTCGTTGTTCTTAGCGTTACCCCTGCCCTTTTTTCTACTATCATCATCCGTCCTTCTTTATTTTGTCTTTAAACATACAGGAGGAGGTGACTTCAATAGATGATTTCTAAAAGGTTAAAAACGAGGAAGATAACTCCAGACATATATCGAATGTGTAATATACGACTACTACGGGTGGTTGAAATGCTCTTTTGAGCTGACTTGTCTCGTCATCGTCTTTTCTACCAGGTGCATTTCGGAGGAGACATCACGTAACGTAGGAATACTTTAGAGGTAATTCCGCAGTCTAAATATAGACGATATATACAGCAATAACGACAACGGCAAGAATGATTGCAATTATTGTAAAAACAGTAGGAACAATTAAACCGCATACTATTAAATATAAAAAATGTCACTTCGCCCTCAGATAACAAAGCTCTTTCGAGTGATAGATCAAAATTTTCTATATCGTGGGGTTTCTAGGTCCAACTCGTCAGAACAAAGGCTCTCAAATCAGCTTGAATCGTTCAGTACTCACAACTATGTTGTGCCGCCTGTATCATTTGTTTTTCATACCAGTTCAACTGGCCCAGCCTTCCAATGTAATGTAAAAGTCCTTCTTCATGTGGCCTTCGATCATGAATTCTCGATGACACAATCTCTTTGAGACTCAGTGTATGTTTCAATACACATGTACTATATGCTGCTTCCTGCGGATGACGTCGACATCTCTCTTCCCAGAGAAGGTATATGAGGCTCTCCGCCTCGCCGAGGCTCATCTCCAAGTTCGGGAATCCGTGCGAACTCGGCCAGACGGCCTTGGGCTCGTCGAGAGTCTGGTGTATGCTGTGGATCAAGCTCAAAATCTGTCTATCCTTCAAGTTCCAACATTTGAGGAAAGGTTTGAAGTCTGAAGTCTCGCGTTCGTCCCGTGGCGGATGAAGTACCTGCAGCCGCCGATGTGGTGAATCGTGAAGCAGCATTAAAAGCGCAACAGCCTGTCTTTTAAACTTGGCAGAGAGAATGGGCTTCAGCGCCTCGTTGAAGCCGCGGCAGACACGAAGATACACCCATGACCGCCTCCAAGTGTTGAAGAAGTTGACGTCGAAAAGGTCATCGATCAATGCGGTCGTCTCGTCGAAAACGGCTGGCCATTCAAAGTTCTCTGGCAGCAGTATCTTCTCTAGAACCTCGGTCGGTAGCTTCTCCATGGCGACAGCTTCAGGGTCCGGGAATCCCAACGGTTTGTTTGTATCTGTGCGTGAAGGACGACCGCCGACGTTGCATGCTGCAGGCAGCTTTATGTCCAGATCGACTTGCTCTCAAGGTTTCCTCACAAGGTCGAAGAAAATGTGCTTCGAATCCTTATTTCCGGAGATTGGGGTACCGTTGTGGCGTTCCATGGCGCGCGCTACGTGGGGGGTTCGTGAGAAGCTAAGGGAGAGAAGGTGAGACACCACTTTGAATCGCGCCTGCTCACCCCTTGGGAATGCGCCAGCTATGCCCTAACTTTATTATTCCCAACAACCTGGATAGATAAGGCGCGTTCACCACGCCTCACCTCTCTTTCCCTATACCTTGACAACCACGATGCCCCGGACGTTTCCGTCTTCAAACGAACCTCAAATCCGCGCCGAGTAACTCAGTCCGAACCATTCCCTCGCCCAGTATCAACCGTCGAGCCATGGCAGTCGTCCGACAGCCTGCCGTCTCCGGGACCCGCGTTTACGTCATGATACTGCTAGGCATCGGAGGCCTTGGCGGCATCATCTGGGAGGTCCTTGCAGCGATCATTTGGGAGGTGTGGATCACCCTCACGAACCACTTCCGCCTCTTCGTCGCGACCTACCCCCTTATGGGTCTCCTCTTCCTCATTACTCGCGGATTCGACCTCACGACCTGCGTCGGCGTCTGCTGCGGCGCTTACATGTACACCTCCTTCCTGTACTACTTCGGCCTGCGCGACCGCCTGCCCTGGGCCTGCCTCGTCGCGACGCTCCTCACCTTCGAGGGCCCGAACCCACGACTGCTGCGCCGGGCAGCTGTGACTGCCTTCATGCTGGCGCGGGACGACAGCTTCGGCGAGCTGTACTCGAAGCGGGTGAGGAACGCGGAGGTTCCGTGGGAGGATGGAAGCGGGTTTGCGTTCTTGTTCAACTTTGAGGGCCGAGAGCTGCTGAGGGAGGTCTGCTTGTATTTGGTCAACACGCTGTGCTCGTCGTTCGACCGACCGCGCGTGCAGGACGACTTCAAGCTGCGGACTTCGGTCAGGACGGTCGATGTTTTTGTCCTTCCACTGCTGGGGCTGATAGACTGGGCTTGGAGATACAGACGCGCGCAGAGACGACTGAGAAAGGCTCGACTTGCTCGAGAAAGACCGCAGGCAGTTGAGCAACAAAGCTGAGGAGAGGAATGGTATAGATCGTGAACGGGCTCGTTTTGAGCATGTTTAAAAAGCTGTCCTAGTTGAGACACGGACCTGGACAATACAAACAAAATTGGGTATCGAGTTGAATCGAAAACGGACACCTCCAAAATTCCGAGAAAAAGGAACTTGTTGACTCATGCGCTGATTGGCCCGGCCTCATCCTGCCACCACTCCATGAAGGTCAAGATTCGCTTCGTACGCTCTCTCGCCATTTCCTTTCCAATCTCCGTCTTCATCATGCCCTCCAGCTTCACCAGCTTCTCCTCAAAGTGCAGGATGCTGTCGTCCATGCTCCGAGCGCCCTTGGCACCGCCGAACGTAAAGCATCGGCCGACGCCCACGGCGCCGATGGCATCCAAACGGTCGGCGTCTTGCACGACTGCGAGCTCCGGGTAGTCGGCGATCAGGCTGCGAACGCGGGCCGGATCCTTGACCTCACTGGAGTAACTGACCCCCAGACAAATGGTCTGTACACGGGCGGCAAGGTGTTCGTCAGCGCCGAGAGACTGAAGGACTGTGGAAACTAGTGTCGATGCGTCTTCGCCAGGCTTCAGGTACTTGCGGTCGCCGACGTCATGGAGGAGGGCCGCGAGTGTGATGGTCTGCTTGTCTAGTGCTGGGGAGGTAGGGGATTGGTCGTAGATGCGGTGGGCCAGTGAGAGGACGCGCTTGATATGGTTGAAGTCGTGGGAAGCATCGTACTTTGCCATGTAGGCCTCGACATACTCGGTGACCTTGGCGATGAGCTCTTCGTTTGTTGTTGAGTTGGAGGCCATGACGAAGACTGGGCGATGGCAATCAGGTAGTCGAAGTTTCCTTCAGATTATTCTTTCTGGGATCGCACTTGACGAAAGCCTCTAGGTCTTCCGAGACCGAGACAGCTGTGCCTTTATCGAAGGTACCTGCAAGACTTCTCACAGGTAGATTGGTAATCAGAGGTCCCAGCGGCGGTCTGCGGCGGACTTGAGGCTGATCGAAGCTGTTATTTTGATCTTCGAGAGCTGCTGCCTTGAAGTGACTGAGTCAGGCCGGCGATAGAAGCAGGAGATAACCGGAGCAAACGCGGGCAGAACGCGACTCAACAACGGACGAAATTCGCGACATTGGAACGGCAACATGTGAACAGTCACGTGATGTAAGCTTTCTGTAGGTGGATCCATTGGCCTCTCACGGGCGATCCCGCTGATTCCCGCCAGGTACTCCCGTCACCTACGAGATGCCACACCAACCTCACCACAACGGCATGGATCTTGGATGGCCAAGATTCTTGGTCGAGGTACGCAAGATCACCCCGTGTGAGGCCTGCAACGTCGACGTTACTCGCGGACATTCAGCTCGTCAGCAGACAGAAATCTCGCCATGCTGAGGTCAGACCGCTTCCAGCCTGCAGTCTTTGTGAGACATCCGCCGGCATCACCAAGCACTTCGTTGTTGATATCTCACGTCGCCTCGGGCGCATGGATATCGTCGTCCGGCCACAGGATCCTTCCGATGTAACGGAACTGCGATCACGATGAGCTGCTTTTGGCGGTCCAGACTTTCTGCATGCTGCGAACTGGATCCTCGATCCAAGATGCCATGAGATGCCTTGAGGGGATATCGACGCGGCGTCGTCCATCCTCTCTCCAGCCAGGCAGAGCTCCTTCCGTGTGATGGGCCTCACATACCCGCCGAAGCTAGAGACCGTCGCATGCATGGAGCCGGATGACGCACCTTGGGACCATCCCGAAGAAGAATGGAACGGCAGGCAGTATCTCACCTTCCATCGCCGAGGTGTGGGTGGCTCAAGGTCACGCAGAGGGGCGGATGTCGACCGAAGGCGGAGGACGGCAGTTTGCCCTTGGCGGGTCGCCTTACGATCGGCCTTGTTGACAGCAGCCGACAGGGCAGGCAGGCAGGCAGGCAGGCCAGACCGCCCAGGAAACGGGGAGCAGGCTGCGGTACGCATGGCTTTTTGGCTTTTCTGCCCCCATTTCTGCGCCCTCTCCCAGCTCCGGATCTCGGTAGTGTTTGATCTCCCACAGGCCCCTTATTCGGGGATTTTTTTTTTGAGCACTCCTTGGCCTGGGTTCCATTAACCATCGCATCTTTGACACAACAGACGGATATCGACTTGGACAGACGATCGAGTATTGCATGTGTCTTCCATGGTGCGATGCAAAGGCAAGTACGATGAGAATGCTGCGAACGACGGCGTACAGAAGAGCCTGCATGTTCGTCAGGGAACCAGGAACATGGCGTCTGGCGCGTCTTTCCGTGTCCCTTTTCTTCCGACTCGCGCGATCTTCGGCTCTTCCCTGGGCGACGGCTGGCGGAGGCCATCAACACTCCAATGAGGAAGTTTGTCTTCTCAGCAAGCCGCGCATGTACATGCAGACCGCATGCATGTTGACTCGATGCATGATGCAGTATGTCAGTTCATTCAGTGATGCGGACAGACCGATACGGCGAGCGAGCGAATACGGTGCGGGAATTCGGTCATGGGCATTTCTCCTCATCTCGCACTTGGCTGGCCAAGCCAATCCGGTTGGAAAGAAAAAAGTATGAGGAGGGCTGGAAGGCTTGTGAGAGTGGTGATGCTTCCGCGAAGCTGCATACAGGCAGTTGAAGAGTTGAGATGCTGATTGGCGCGAGGTGCAGCACATCACCAGGTGACGGGTGATAAGCGACCGGGCACAGAAGAGCGACGTGCAAATCTATTGGCCAATGAGGGCAGGGATTTAGACGCCCAATCAAGCCAAAAGGGCAATCGGCTTGGAGCCACGCGGTGGACGGAGGAACGTACCGCGCTTTAGTCCCCACAATCCCGGATGGGATCCACTTATCTCTTCTATTTTGGCCCGCCGTGTCCAGGAAACCCCTCTCCTTCACCATGCTTAACCGCCCAGCGTGCAGACATGGCCCATCCCAGCGGCCGGCTCGTGGTAGCACTAACGCAACAATGGACTTGGTCAGAAAACGACCTCTGCCTACCTGCCTAGGGTACGAATGAGAAAGAGGGGAACAACCGCGCCAGAGGTGACGGCGATGGGGATGGGGTGCGCTTGCTGAGGCCGCCCTGCTTCCTATTTGCCAGCACACCTCGAGAGAGCTTCACTAGCTCCCAACTTCCCAGTTCCCGTCCTGGAGCGAGGGGATCCCCGGCCGGCTGATCTCTTGAGCGCCGACGCGGAGCACCATCACCAGTGTGATATTGGCTACCTGCATCGGCCATCCACAAGCCTTGCCATGCCCAGCATCCTCCTCATTGGGCCGTCCATCAAGTGATGCTTCCTTTGCACACTCCACTACTGCGTAGTACCTTGGGACTAGGCACGCTGACTGCCTGCTTGCTTGCTTGCCCCAGCCATGAGCGGCGCATGTAGCACCGCATCTCGAGTGGCTTTTCCAACCCACCACACACACAATGTGTCGTTGGCCCTCTCATGCGGCCTCGCCTGGCCTCCAACTACGGCCGCTCAAGGCATATAATGGAAGCCTCCCATCCCTTTCGTCTTCCTTTCCTCTCTCTTCTCTTCAGCAAGCACTCGACAAGTAATTCCAGGTCTTTGATTTTCCCCCTTTCCGTTGTTTTTTGTTCTTTGTTTCCCTAGAGCTGGTCTCTATTCCTAATTGCAGCATCAACTAATACCCAATAACCGTTATTTCCAAAAACACCAATTTTTTGCATCACCACCACCAAGTTGCTGGGCAACTTTACCCCTAATCGGAAATCTGGAATTTCTTGCTCAATCGACCACCATTATTCAACAGTTTCACACCTTGTTCGCAGCTTCTCCTGACAAATCGCAATAATGTCGTCCACTCAACTCTCTTTCTCTCTTCGCGTTTCTTCCGGCGTCAAGACCGTCCACCTTCTTGGCTCCTGGGACAACTACGTCGGACAACTTCCCCTGTCCAAGGACAAGACTTCCTCCAAGTCCGGCTCGTGGAAGGGCACCTTCAAGTTCAGCGGTTCCACCCTGTCCGCCGGCCAGCGCTACTGGTACTACTACATCATCGACGGCTACCACGTCGCCCACAACCCCAGCGTCACCTCCACCGTTGAGCCCACCACCGGCCGCGAGCTGAACATTCTCGACGTTCCCTCGTCCGGCAAGTCAAGCAGCTCCAGCAGCAAGTCCTCCAAGTCGTCCTCGTCTTCCAAGTCCTCCTCCAAGTCTTCATCACACTCCTCCTCCCACTCCTCTTCTCGCAGCTCCCGCCGCTCCTCCTCCAAGGACAAGAAGAGCAGCCGCAACCGCTCCTCGTCGCGCGACATCCCCAAGGGCCGACCCCTCTCCATCTCTCAGATCAAGGCCCCCAAGCCCACGTCGCCCCACGCCACTCAGCACATCCTCAACGGCGACTACCGCGATGAGGATCTCGAGGAGCTCACCGCCCGCTTCGGTGCCGCCGGCTTCGACGATGAGGATATCGTGACAGACTTCTCCAGCTCGCCCGTGTCGTCTAGCGGCTCCAGCCTCTCCTACCGCTCCGACAGCTCCAGCCCCAACTCGTCCATGTCCGGCTACAGCACCCCCGGCTCCGACGTCAGCACCTGCACCTGCGAGCGCTACGGCATCACCCGCAAGGGCGACCGCGTCAAGATCGACTGTGGCGGTGCCCGCTGCGGCTACGGCGACAGCTCCGAGTGCTCCGACTCTTCCGACGAGGAGTCCGACGAGGAGGAGGAGTACGTCTCCAACAGCCGCCGCCACGGCATGGTCGTCCGATGAAGAGCCCGATGCCGTCCCGGGGAGGACACAACATCACCATGAAGACCTTAATCAGAAACAAACCCGAAGAAGAAGTCCCACGTGGACACACATTCATTTCGTCGCGCGACCCGTTCTCTTTGCCGCTCCCGTCTCGGCCCCTGGGGGCCAGGCGGCGACGCCGGCACACGGCAGTCAGCGCACGTTTCCAACCATCATTGCATCCACCGAGGAGCAGCGGCATGCCGAGCCGGTCTCGGTACTGCCCGCAACACCTCGTCCCAAGTGGGTCGATGCTGCGACCCCACGCCGCGATCACCCCGTCCGAATCGCGCGTGCCCGTTTCGTTTGTCATGTGCTCTTACTGACAACGAGGGAGCACCCTCGCGTGCCCTCCGAAGGGAGGCATGCGAGGCCGAAAGCTCCAGCGGATGAAGAAGCCTTTTTGCTTCTGGGGATGGACCATTTACCGCGGCCCCAAGCTGGATGTTTGGAAAGCTTGGGCAAGCCGCCATCATGTACCTTAGACAGCCAAGATACCGCCACAGGCGGAATGGGTAGACGCCTATGGAATCTATTCATCAATGAACACAACCTCATGTGCCTCCTAGTGATCTTTTTTGACAGTCTTCCGTAAATTGGCGCATTGCCTTCGTATATAGTGGTCTATCATCAGCGTAAGTTGATATGGTCGACGATGTAAACAAAAAACCTCCGACCCTGAACGGGGGACCCTTCGTGAAAGTCGGCGTTCGGGGGAAAGATACCGCTGAAGAGGGCGGGGCCATCAACGTCACAAAGCGGGCTGGTGGGGGTCCTCTGCCGCCGTTCATCCACTGAAAGCTGGGGTCAGGGGGCGTGTTGCTGCAACAGCGACCCCGCGATGGAGGGACTTGGTGCGGGGACTTCACACACCTTCCTCGCACCTCATTTCCGCCCCCTAAACTTCCATCTTCAAACACGCCCTCCAAGTCTCTTGAAACGGAGGGTTCCTTTGTTCGTAACTCAACCTCGTCTCTCTCGGGTTGCTCGTCTTTCCACAAAACCACCCAATTGACCACCCAACGGTCAATTACAACCACAGCCTTCACCGCTCTCCAAGATCCGCAGACCGCCAAATCGCCCGCCATGGACTACCCAATCGTCGACTCCCACATCCACCTCTACCCAGAGACCGAGATCGAGACCCTCGCCTGGGCGACCCCCGAGAACCCGCTCGCCAAGCAGCACTCCGTCTCCGACTACGTCGCCGCGACCGGCAGCCCGCCCAACCTCAAGGGCTTCATCTTCCTCGAGACGGACCGCAAGCACGACCTCGAGTCCGGCGCCAAGGATGCCTCCGGCTGGGAGTTCCCCCTCATGGAGGTCTCCTGGCTCCGTCGCATCGCCGAGGGAAAGCCCCGCGAAGGCGAGGGCCACGGCGAGGAGCACAAGGACCTGTGCCTCGGCATCGTCCCCTGGGCCCCCCTGCCTTCCGGCGCCGAGGCCATGCAGAAGTACCTCGACCACGTCAAGGAGGTCGCCGGCGAGCACGTCTGGCCCAAGATCCGCGGCTTCCGCTACCTGCTGCAGGACAAGCCGCACGGCACCGGCCTGACGGACGACTTTATCGACAGCCTGAAGCTGCTCGGCAGGCTGGGCTACGTCTTCGACCTCGGCGTCGACCAGCACCGCCGCGGGAAGCAGCAGCTCGACGAGGCGCTGGAGATCATTGCCCGTGCCCATGAAGGTGTTCCCGAGGAGGAGAAGGTCACATTCATCATCAGTCAGTTACCCATTCTCTAACATCTCAAAACTCCTGCTAACTGCTCCCTGCTCGTCACAGACCACCTCTGCAAACCCGACCTCGGCGTCATCAACACGACAGACCCTTCCTTCATCTACTGGCGCACATCCATCTTCGCCCTCTCCGCGTGCTCAAAGACCTACATCAAGCTCTCAGGCGGCTTCTCCGAGATGCCCGACTCCCTCAAGAAGCAGGACCCCAATGCCCTCTTCGAGGCCCTCTTCCCCTGGCTCGGCGTCGTCCTCGCCACCTTTGGCCCCCGCCGCACCATGTTCGGCAGCGACTGGCCCGTCTGCACCGTCGGTGTGGACGAGGCCTGGCGCAAGTGGAAGCTGCTCGTCGAGCGCATGTGCTACATGGCCACCATGGACCCCGAAGACCAGGCCGAGTTGTTTGGAGGAACCGCTCTGAGGGCCTACGGCTTGACTGGGTTTTCGCTCGTGTTCTAAAGGAATTATGATGAAGTAGTAAGACTTACAGTGGGGCATCATGTTTTAGAAGAGGTGGAAAGGCTTTACGATTTCAACATGGGCGCTGGAATGACTTTGATGAGAGCAGTCTTGCACACAGATACCAAAATCCAAATGATACCTTATTTAGAGACCGCCTGGTTTTCCTGTGTACTCATTGCTCCTATTGAAGAAGATGATATCAGTAATAATACTAGCGGCGACGACGACAGCAGACGACAGTAGACGACGACAGTAGACGACGACAGTAGACGACGACAGTAGACGACGACAGTAGACGACGACAGTAGACGACGACAGTAGACGACGACAGTAGACGACGACAGTAGACGACGATAATAACGATGACAACAACAACGACAGCAGTAATGATGATAACGACGATAATAGCAGCGAAGACGGTAAGGTAGAGATTACCGTCACTGGGAAAATAAGCGGTGTCCTTGTGTATATGCAGATACTGTTACCAGCAGTCACAAGCATGATGACCGTTGCCCAGCGAGGGATAACCAGGCAAAAAAGTGCTATTGATTGACCGAGAAGAAACAGTGTTACAGCCAGCGATTTTAATCATAAACAGTACAGGAAATCAAAGAGCTGCTGCCTGAACCTGCCACGCCGGCTGAACCTGACGTGCATATCGAAATGAATCTCCAAGCATGAGAATTGGCTCGATAGCGGATACTCCTTCCTTCTTCCTTCCAACGTACCCATATGCTTCCCGTCGCAAACTTTGAATACCAATAGCAAACGTGCTCATAATTCGATACAAAACATACTCAATCCTTATGGTTCGATGATCCAGGTCTGATCTGCCAGAAATGCGCCAGCAGCCCTCTCGGTCTGAAGTCACGTAATCTCCGTCTGCGGCCATGCCGTTCTTGCGAGAAATGCAAGGCGCTTATCGTGTCCTCAAGCCGGGACAGGGTTATTTCGAATAGCTCTTCTGGCTTGGCGGTTCTTGCACTCGAGAGCATACTTAGGATCGTTTGCCTTCTTCCACTCAATGTACTCCTCATACTTCTGCTGAGCCATGGCATCAGGGATGCGAGGCTTCTGCGGGCGTAGAAATTTGTTGTCGAATTGCCCAGCTTGGTGTTGGTTGAGAAAGCCATTGTTGGCCATGTTGGAAGGTGCTGCTGCAAGGTTGTTGAATGTCTGAGGACCAAACCCAGGAGGCCCGATGTCAGAACCAGCAACAAATGGTCGGTTGAAGCCAGCCGTAAATCCGCCTGTCTGTGGTCCAAATCCTGCCATGGGCGGAGGGAGACCGGGTCCTTGAGAGTGCGGTCCAAAAGTAGGAGCCGGATGAGGCAGATTATGAATCGTTGGATTGATGAAGGGATGGATTGAATGACTGGGCGGCGAAGTCTGCATTGGCATAAAAGTGCTGATCGGAGGTATGCCATTGTTAAGGTCGACTCCTGGAGACATGGATGGCACCAGTGGAAACGGTGAGGGCTGCAGAGCCGGTTTCATAGCAAGAGACTCAAATGAGAACGGCGAGGTTACCTTTTGCTGCGCTGCGCTTCCCAAACCGAACTTCTGAATCGTGTTGAGAATCGCCTCATTCGAGATTTGTTGGCCGCCGCCCTCCTCAAACGGCTTGAACTGGTCGCTTTGACCTACAATCTGTTCGAGAACCGACAGAGGAATGTTCATAGAGGTCTCTGATCCGCGCTTCTCTGCAACAACGGGGTTTTCCTTGGAGGAAAAGGCCGCGAATTCCTTCGCTAGGGGGTTGAGAGACCGCTTTATCGGGCTTCTCATGTCGACACCAGAATCACCAGAGTCTTGTCTTGGTCGATCTTTGGGTGAGTCCTTTACCACAGCTACTGGATGGTACTCTGGTATAGACGAACTTTTGAGCTTCCGAAGCATCTCATTGAAGCGAATCTCTTTGATGGCATCTTCGTCAGAATTCTTGTCTCCAACAGTGACAACGGCAGGGTCTTGTATGATAGCTGTCTTTTTGACCTGGCACTCCGCCTGCAACTTCTTGAAGTGGTCTTTCCCGCTAAAAATGTTGTCTTGGTCGTAATTGCAAGGGTTGGTAAGATCAACCATAGACAACTTGCGAGGCGTGATCTTAGCGCCTCTCAGCTGCTTCTCAAAGTCGAGAATGCCACCATCGCGAGGCTGGGACTTGAACCGAGTGGCACTCTTAATGCGGCGGATCTCGGCATTGTTGAAAACTCCATTGTCGCAGTCGGGGTCATCGCAATCGTGGATCACCAAGTCCATGACAAGAGGGGTGGCTCCCTTCTTCTTCTAGTTTAGGGCACTGCCTGCAACTCTCTCGTCGAAGCGTCCGTGGTGAATAGCGAGGCACCTGACTTTTGCACCTGGCTCCTTCTCCAGGGTCAAGATCTCTTGAGGCACGACCGCCGCATTTCCTCCGAAGACGGGGTCTGTTGCGATCAACAGAGGGTCGACGCCGGAAACAGGCTTCCGCAAGTGAGTAGCAGGGTCAGCCATGTTGAAGTCGGTGCCGATGCCAGAAGTCTTCCGGCTCTTGGAGACTCTGATACACTCAGTGTTGTTTTCATGTGGTTTGAGGGGCTTTCTCCAGTTCGAAGAGTTCAATACGGCGGCGTGTTTCTCGGTCAAGGCTCTGTTCTCGTCGTTGGTTCTTTGAGGCGAGGGGTGCCGGGTGTTGGATGAACCTCTGTCGGGTCGGTTGATAAGCCCCGCAGCATTTCTTATATTCGTGTAAACCATCTTGGCCGCTCGTTTGTCAGAGATGGGGAGTTCAGCGAGTGCCGTGAGCCCGCTCTGTTTTGCAGGAGCTTGCAGACTATCGAGAAAGCTAATATGACTGTCAATATTTTGGTCACGCAAGCTTTTTGCGAAAGCTAGAGACAGAAGGAATCAGACGTACCTTGATCGGTGAATCGGTCGGCGCTTTGCGGTTCGTTGGGAAGGCACACACTGCAGCGAGTCTTTGCGACGGAAGGACAAAATAGGGCCGCGATCTTGAAGCCGCGAGAAAAACTGACCGAACGGAGAATAGTCAAGTTCTCCGGGACCAGACTCAAGGCCGCAGACGGGCAAATCGAGACGTTGCAATGGAGGAGATAATTCGGAGGTGGGTTGGTGGAGGTTGAGTTGGCTTTTTTCCCTCGTTTTGTTTTCGGGAAGGCTGGGGAAAATTCAGACCCCTCAACTGATTGCAAAAGCGAAAGAACAGCGGGTTGTTCTTGCCTCAGTGGTGGATGTCTAAGGTTCTGAGATTGTCTGGATCGGCCCTGAGGTTGTGACGATGTTGCTGATGTGCTTCACCAGAGGGGCATCAGCGTGTGAAAGAAGCCTTTGCGAAGTGATCGGGGACAACAAGGAGCCGCTGCTGGGACTGTTTCGTAATCTGTACCGTGAAGGGAAATCCTCGCTGATAAAGAAAGCATGCGCTCTAGGCTTGGGCCCGTAAGTCTATGGATCGTGTCCAAAAATCCAAAAAAGGCTGAGGTGATGTTGAGGTAGAGTGTTGATGTTGACAGGATGTCGCAGTGTCTAAGTGAGGACTGGTTCAAATCTAATGACTGGCACCGGAGATTCGCCTCCGGAATATGAGGTACAGGGAAGGCAAGACAGTCTCAAGTCTATCTGTGAGGAAGGAGTTGGTCTAAGAAATAAACAAGGAAGCAATGAAATGGCATTTGCATCTGTTGGCAAACGGGAAGGTACTACCTGCTACGGGGAAGGAGTGAAAATGTACCCGGAGCATCTACGGGCTTCGACTGTGAGCCCACCTTTGCGAGGCCGATTCCTATGTCTGCGCAACTGAATTACCTGTGTATTGAGTTGCTCCAATTAAGAACGATAGCAGAAAGAATGATAAAATGGAAGCCACGACGACGATGGCAACGGACGATGGCAACGGACGATAGCGGATGGTGGCAACGATAACGACGACCACGACGAGGACAAGAATACTACCAGTTGTATGGAAATGATTATGAATAAACCCAGAGAAAGAGTAGTTCTTCTAGCACAGTAAAGATAGACGGCGTCATGTCTGCAGGCTTACAAGTCACTACTTAGCCTCAGAAACACATAACAAAGAATAGTCATATGGATTCGAGACGATCTACACCAATACTTTTGTAATCAAAGCCCACGAGCCAGTGTTGAAACATTGAGAGGATATCAATTTGCCACGCTATAAGTATTGAAATATTATGATTCTTTTCATCATCACATCAAGCATCTCCTGGTTTGACATATTGCAACGTCTACATTGCTTCGGCCACACCACTACCAACTTTTCTTTTAGACGGATTGATGCTGTTGTCCTTGAAGGTACGCATAGAAGTGTTTCTGCAATCACACATATCAGCAAATTTGATCTCAAGAATTGGCAAAAAAAGATACTTACGGCGTTCCTCGTCTGCATGAAGACGGTACCTGGGCCGGTGAACTTGCAAACCAAGCCCTCGCCAGATGAGATACCAGAGATGATGCCACCAGAAGCAACCCGCTCCATGATGTACTTGACGTTCCATGCTACGAGATGGCCGTTGTCGACAACATACTTCTCGCCCTCCATAAGCTAAAGACTGGTCAGTATTCCGTTTAGATACAGGTCCAGGGGCTTACTTACGTCCTTGCGGATGATGGCACCAAAGCTGGTCAGCCAGAGCAGACCGGTACCGCTGATCTTGTACACATACAAACCCTCGCCACTGAAGATAGCCTTGCTGAGGCCCTGGCGCTTGTAGTCCTTGATAACACCTTGAGTTGACGCGACATAGGCGTCCTGGCCGACCGACCATGTTTCCTTGCCGGTAAGACGCAGACTGGTGATGTCGCCGAGCATGGGTGGGGCCAAGAGAAGCTCACCGGGCCCGACAAAGGTCGAGCTGGCGAGTTCCGCTCCGGCAACGAGCTTCTTCATGCTGAACTTGATCTGGCCCCTCAGCGTGATCGAGTGCGACATGGCCACCATGACACCAGGCTTCGCCGTCAGCGGGCAGCCCACGGCAAGCTGGATGGTCAGGATGGTGTTGCTGTCTCTGTGGCTGATGCGGTAGCTGCCTCCGTTGAATGTGCCAACATCATCGACGGTCGCAGTCGCTCCCAGGAAATGTGTGGCGGCTGGAGCTCCTCCCTGGAGATTGGCGGGGTTGCTGGTGTCGACCGGGGCCTCCTCTACGTATTGCTTCTCTGGAAGGGCCGCAGCATCTGGGGGACCGTCGAAGGAGGGGGGAGGCGTAGAGAATTGCGAACCCGCCTCATGGGACCCTGAATTCCTCACCGGAAGCTGCGTCTGATGGAACTGCTGCGAGTGTGGAGGGGACGGTTGGGGTGATGGCTGTTGCTGAACTTGCTGCGGCTGTTGTGCTTGCTGCTGCGCAAGACCAGGGGGTGGCGGATATTGCGGTTGACCCTGGGCAGGTGATGATGTCCCCTGGGGAGGTGGCGGGTAGCTTCGCCCCTGGCTCGGAGATGCCTGTGGAGGAGGGGGGTAGTTCGCGTTCTGTGCCGCCGAAGCTTGGGGAGGAGGTGGGTAGTTCTGAGGCGTGCTCGACTTGGGAGGAGGGAAGTTCTGGGAGGTCGGCGAGGTTATGGGAGGAGGAGGATAGTTCTGCGACTGCCCCGGCGAAGGCTGCGGTGGCGGAGGGTAGCTTCCACTGTGGCCGCGCTGGGGTTGTGAGGGAGGAGCAGGATACGAGAACTTGGTCTGGTGCGCGGGAGGCGATTGCGGCGGCGGCGGGTAGTTCTGCTGGGCATGGCCTTGGTTCTTGTCAGCTAAAATCCTGAGTGAATGGTATATGCGACGGTAGAAAGTACATACCTCCCGAAGGGGGAGCTGTGAGGTTGTCAGCGCAAGCTCCGTTTGGCGGGGTAAATGAGCGACTCACGAGGATAGTATTGGGCGGACATGGCCAGTATGAGAGTCGCGTCTTTTCGGCGACGGTATCAGAGAACCGAAACAGCTTCGAATGAGTCGAAAATGAATGTAGATGACGGTAGAGTAAGCTGAGTAGGACTCAGAGGGTGGTCTGCCAACAGGTCAGTCGTCGCCAAGATGGTCGCATCGCATCGCTGCCCCGCACTTACAGGTGATCGCAGCCTGCTTCTAACGGTAGAGTAGCACGAACAATACGATCCAAGTTCCACAACAATGAAGTCAAATTCGATTTGATTTCTTTTTCAATCTGCCGCGTCCGTATCGCAATGGGTAAAGGGGAGGAGGGGGGGAAAAAGTGTCGCGAAAGACGGGCGCCTCGGGGTTCAGGACCATTAATGAGGGAGCTTCCCACGCGCCAGAGCAATCCCAGCTCCTGCTGCAAGCTCCGCCAGACCCCTGTCCCACGGCCCGGGTTGGCCTCGACATCTGGCCGCATCGCCCCCAGCTTCCCGTTGGTTCTGCATCGATGGTGTACTGGAGCTCTCAAAGATTCTAATTCGAGCTGGCTGGGACTTTGGGGGTGTTGTCCAATCGCCGCCGAGGAAGGGGAGCGCCCAGGCGAATGGAAAGCGTCCCTAACTCTTTTTGGCGCCAGGTGAAGAGGGGCGGCGCTTAGAGCTGTCCAACGGCGGCGCTCCCTTTCATTGGCTTGCCGAGTCTCTCCCTGCAATTCACCTTGTCTCCAATTTGTTTGAACACGGTTCATAATTCATCATGAGATGGGCTGGACGTCCAGTCTGGTTTGTTGCGTGCATGTCACCGGGTAACTCGGGGTCAATCCAGTTGCGTGGGCCGCCGGACACGCTGGTTGAGGGCCTGGACGGGTCAGATACGTGGCAACGTGACCCAAGAATGACCAAGATGTTCTGCAGCTGCAGGTGAGACCGGCAAATGCTCAAAGTCACTCATACAGGACACCAAGGCATGCTTGGCTTGTGATTACCCCTAGACGGCGGCGTCTTTCGTCGCCGGCCGTCATGTCCGTACCGAACCGGCAGGTATCGGCGTGGGGGTGGGGCCGCCCCGATCAAAGGCCAATGCTAGGTCACTTCATAGAGTCAAGCATGTCAAGTAACGCAACTTCCAAGACTATTGCCTTCTTTTTTTCATTCATTTTCCTCGTTCCAAGAGGCCCGCCAAACGCCCAAAGTCATTCGCTTTTGTCTATCCCTTAGATAGCCATCTTCTCGTGCTTGAAAGGCTTCTTGCCCTCTCCCTCGCCATACGCCAACGAAACCTGACCGTGTCCCCTAATCTTGTACTTGTAAATCATGAGACCCTCCAAGCCAACGGGACCACGAGAGTGGATCTTGTTGGTGCTGATACCAACCTCAGTGCCGAAGCCGTAACGCATGCCGTCCGCCATGCGGGTGGACGCGTTCCAGTAGGCACCAGCAGTGTCCACAGAGTTCATGAACTTCTCAGCCTCCTGCTCGTCCGAGGTAAGGATGGCCTCGGTGTGCTTGGAACCGTGGGTGTTGATGTGCTGCACGGCCTCGGCCATGGAGAAAACGACCTTGACCGCGACGTCGAGGGACAGGAACTCGGTGTCGTAGTCGGCATCCTTGACATCGACCACCTTGGAGGCAGCATCACCAGAGAGCTTAGACAGAAGGACCTCCTTGGATTGGCGATCGCAGTGAAGCGTCACGCCCTTGGCGATCAGAGCCTCAGCAACCACGGGGAACGAAGTCTCGAGAGCGGACTCTTGCACGAGCAGGGTCTCCACGCTGTTGCAGGCGGCGGGGTAGCTCGTCTTGGAGTCCACAACGACATCCGCCGCCATCTTGGGGTCCGCCGAACCGGTCAGGAAGATGGAGCACAAGCCATCGGCGTGGCCCAGGACGGGAATCTTGGTGTTCTCCTTGATGTAGCGGACAAGCTCGTTAGAGCCACGGGGGACGACGAGGTCGATGTACTCGTCGAGTGCAAGCAGCTGTGGAATGACGTCGCGAGAGCTGACGAGCTGGACGGCCGAGTTGGGGACCTTGGGCTTCTGGAGGTTCTCGAGGGCGGAGGAAATGACCTGGGAGATGGCCACAAATGACTCGATTGACTCCTTGCCGCCCTTGAGGATGGCAGCATTGCCAGACTTGATGGCCAGGGAGGCGATGTTGGCGATAACCTCGGGGCGAGCCTCGAAAATGATGAGCAGAACGCCGATGGGGCAAGTGACTCTCTCGAGGATGAGACCATCGTCCAGCTTTGTCCTCAATGTGACCTTGCCAACTGCTCCGTGTCAGACTCTAATGATCATTCGAGTGCCGTGTAAAATTCACATACCTGGGTCCTCCAGATCTCTCACATCCAAGATACCCTTAAGCATATCCTCAAACTTGCCCTTCTTGCCCAGGTCCAAGCGAGAGACGAGACTCTGGCTCAGGGTCCCATCGGCGGCAGCCTTGCGGGCGAGCTCCAAGTCGCGTGCATTTGCGGCCAGGATGTCATCCTTGGCTTCGGTGAGGGCGGCGTGGATGGCCGTGAGAGCGTCGTTGCGGGCTTCGGCGGGGAGTGTGGCGAGGATGTGAGAGGCCGACTTGGCGCTCTTTGCGCAATCAACAGGCGAGGCGTTGGTGAGAGACATGGTGGATTGGCGGTTGAGAGGATGAATCTGTGTCAGGATGCTACTTTGTGCAATAATTGTTGCACTTGCACCAACGACAGTGTGATATTGTGTGTGAGTCAATTGGTGAAGCTCCCAGCATGTCACTAAACCCCTCTAAAATGAGAGGACGCGCCACTGGACGCTGCAAAAATTTGGAGCCCCGCACTCGGAGCCGGAGCTCAAGTGGGAGGGAAACGGCTACAGGGTGATCAGTCTGTTGAGTTTTGGTGGTTTGAAGTAACTTTGCCAATGCCAGTAGCCTTTTGTCAATCCAAATAAGCTTATTTGAATGCAAGGGAGATTGAGTCTTTATCCAGAGCCTCACTTGCTTCTATCAACTCCGAAAAGCTACTTATATTTTGTCAACCGTTGTTTTCAAAGTACAGACCTGGATGATGAAGACAAGGATCCACAAATCGCAATAGGCCCGCTGCGTGCGCAGGTACCTAAGTACCTATCATTTGATGCCCAGCCACTGAGCATCGTGGAAAACGTCGTGACAAACTTTCGCTGGGGTTGACGGCCTGAATGCGACATTCTATCGTTTTGTTTCCCCAGCACCCTGGTGTCGATGACTTGGGAACTGGAAGCTTGACTCTGCCTTTTGAACTCGCCACGGAGCTGACTCTGTTTCTTTTCTCCGGGGATTCGCCGCTGTCGTCGCAAAATGCAACCATGACGGCGTCTTCTCCGAGTCATGGAAGGCGTTCCTAAAGTGTCCCCCTTTGTCGGAGCTCCTGCGACGCCTGAACTCTTCTTTGGCCCGTCTCATGTTGGCCCTTGTCATCCGTATTCCACCATGTCAAACAAAAAAGTTTCTACTTTTATCACCTCCCTCGTTTGGAATGGACTTCGACGGCACGGCCAAGACATGCAAGGTCTACTACGCACCAGGGCATACTCCGTACATACTCCGTGTTCTCCGTATGCACCCCGCGACCAGCCTGCCTACTCCGGTGTTGGAGCTGCCGCTTTGGCTCTCCCCGTCCCGATAAGACACTCGCCTTCGATAAGAGACGAGCGGCGCATCAGCGGGTATTGCTAGACTAGGCTGGCCACCCAGCAACCAACATATCACCCTGCCCCCAAAAAATTGCCGACCGCGGTGCCGTTTTACTAAGCTGAGCGGACATAGTGGGCGGAAACCGAGCATCAAAAGACCAGACGACCTGCTGCAGTGCCGCTTTGCCGTCTTTTCTGAGCGTCCATATCGTCATTCCTTACGCAAGCGCTGGATTCGAACACTCCGCCTCGTACTCACTTACAAACTGCTGCTGCTCACCTGGCGGTGCTCGCGCTCGCGGTTCGCGTTGCTATTCTTCTGCATCTTGAACGTATGGAGTTTGTACGTACACCGCGCGGCGGCTGCCACCCTGCTGGCCCACTATGGAGAGGACCACCGAGGCATCTCTCGCGCTCGAAACATCGGCTGCCAGGAGCCGAGCTCGGTGTCGATCCGCACTCCACTGCGGAACGGTACAGTTAGCCGATGGGTAGGAGAGATTTCAATGACTGTCTCCTTTGGTGAAAAAAAGGCAGGCTAGCCATCATGGACATGACCAGGCCTCCTGGGGTGGGGGGTGGGAAACCCGTTTTCCCAGTGCAGCACCCGATTAAAAAAGTCGGCCAGGCCCCGGCCATTCTCTTTCGTCATTTCGTTCGCCCTTCTCCATCTTCTAAAGGGATTTTTCTTGGCTGTTCTGTCGTGGGTCTTGAAAGTTAGCAAGACCCCTTTTGCCCTTTGACCACCCAACAACTACTTGCTTGGCTGCCGCAATTCCCATCTTGTTTCCCATCCTCAGAACCTCGGCGCCGACTCGGCCAACAAAAATCCCACACAATGACTGCCTCGTCACGAGACCCGGAAAAGGACCCTTTTCCGCCGGAAACAGCTTCTGAGCAGAGAGAGGAGCAGAGCCAGTCCAGCGATAGCGAGGATGAAATCACAGAAATTGGTCGGAATGATGATGACGGATCGCGCGAGTCGCCGGAGCCGGCGCTGGATGCGGACCCATCAGCCGCCGCGGCCCCGGCCTCCAGGACTCGGTCCCGGGCCTCCTCCACCCGCTCCCGTGCTCTGTCAATCGTGCCCCGATCAAAACGGAGAGGCCTTTTCGGCCAGCTCGCCATCATCCCCGAGGTAGACCGTCCGTATGACTACACAAACAAGACAAAATGGACAATCACGTTGATCATTGCCCTGGCTGCTGCTGTGTCTCCCATGGGCTCTTCCATCTTTTATCGTAAGCTTGCTCATTCCAAAAGTAAACAATGCCAATGACACAATTTCACTAACACGGTATGACCTAAAAAGCGGCCTTGGGTCAAATGTCGGAGGAGTTTGGTGTTTCGGCAACAGTCACCAACTTGTCGGTGGCATTCTACATGCTCGCCATGGCCATATTCCCCCTCTGGTGGTCCTCCTTTTCAGAAACACTCGGCCGCCGCACAATCTACCTAATCTCCTTCGCCCTCTTCGTCGTCTTCTCCGTCCTCAGCGCGATCAGCGTCAACATCGAGATGCTCATCGTCATGCGCCTCCTCGGCGGCGGCGCGAGCGCCTCCGTCCAGGCCGTCGGCGCCGGCACCATCGCCGACATCTGGGAACCCCGCGAGCGCGGCCGCGGCATGTCCATCTTCTACCTCGGCCCCCTGTGCGGCCCGCTCCTCGCCCCCATCATCGGCGGCGCCCTGTCGCAGCGCTTCGGCTGGCAGTCCACCATGTGGGCGCTCGCCATCTACGGCGGCCTCGTGCTCGTCATGATCCTGTTCTGCCTGCCCGAGACCCTGGCGAAGCCCAAGCCCGCACTTCCCCCGGCTGCCGCCGCTCAGGGCGAGAAGAACGCGCTCTCCCGCACCAAGACGACCGAGTCGGTCAAGGTGCACACCAAGAAGGCGGGCGCGCTGCTGAAGAAGTTCTTCCTCGACCCGCTCTCCGTGCTGCTGTACCTGCGCTTCCCGCCGGTGATCATCACGGTGGCCTTCGCGGCCATCACCTTTGGCGCGCTCTTCGTCGTCAACATCTCGGTGCAGTCGACCTTCTCCAAGGAGCCGTACGGCTTCAGCGTGCTCATCATCGGCCTCTTCTACTTCCCCGCGGGCCTGGGCTACTTCATCGCCTCGATCCTCGGCGGCCGCTGGCTCGACCACATCATGGCGAGGGAGGCCAAGAAGGCGGGCCGCTACGACGCCAACGGCAAGCTCATCATGCTCCCCGAGGACAGGATGCGCGAGAACGCGTGGATCGCCGCGACGGTGTATCCCGCTGCCCTCATCTTCTACGGCTGGGTGGTCCAGAAGGGTCTTTTCTGGTTTGTGCCGTGTATCGGTCTTTTCTTCTTTGGGATCAGCTCGATGCTGGTGTTGTAAGTCTTTGTCCCCTTCGTCTGTCGTTTTGGTTCTGGCGATGCCTTCTTATCAGTCGACTTTGGCTAACATCACTTCTTTCCCTAGCGGCGCCGCCACTACCATGCTAACGGAGTTCATGCCCAAGCGCAGCTCGGGAGGTGTGGCGGTCAACAACTTTGTGCGCAACATCTTCTCGTGCATCGGAGCCATCGCCGCGCAGCCCGTTATCAACGCCATCGGCAACGGGTGGCTCTTCACAATCCTGGGCATTTTCACGTGGATCACGGGTTATCTGTGTGTCTGGGTGCTTAGGAAGAAAGCTCCGGAATGGAGGAAAGATATGGACAGGGCGCTGAACAAGTAGCAGCCGTCCTAAAAAAGAGAGGGAAGTGTTCATGTCATCCTTTTTGGATTGTTTTAGCGCGCCCGCATGGTATCATCACATGACAGCATAGCGCCAAATGCATCAGCAAATTCTTTGATAATAGATTTTGAATACATGTTTGCATGTCAAACCATGTGCCACCACACCGCGACGCTTGAATGCGGGTGAAAGCCGATAGAAACCAGAAAAAAAACCAAAGTCGTTATCAGCAACATTTTCTTTTTTTGTTGTATGGACCTAACCCCCCCTTCAGGCAGTGTGAGGATTGACGCCCCTCTCCGCACAGTACTTGGACACCTCCTTTCTCAGCGTCTCCTTCTGCCGCGACACGAGGTCCATGACGTCCCGCATCTCCTCGCCGAGGTCCCACTCGCCCTCGCGCCCGCCGAGCTCCGTGTAGAGGTTCTCCATCTCGGACAGCACGGCCTCGAGCTGGTTGGGCAGCCATGTGACGATGGGGCTGCCGCCGGTGGCCGTCGGGTGGCTGGTGCGCTTGAGAATGTACTCACGCGCGAAGCACCAGTGGCGCCAGCGGAAGTCGCGCACCTGGTGGAGGATCAGCAGCCACAGGCGGCGGGTCTGCTTGAGGGCCTCGACCTCGTCGTCGCTCGCGAGCGCGGCGGCGGGCGTCTTGCCGGCGAGCGCGGCGTCCTTCAGGCCGAGCTCGAGCGAGCGGTCCTTGACGTGCAGCAGGAACTGGCGGTGGTTGCTGGGGCGGTAGGAGCGGAAGTCCTTGAGGATCTCGGTGAGCGGGGTGTCGGGCATGGGGACCTGGAGGAGGTTGTCCATGAGGGGCACGATGGAGTCGTTGGCGCCGGACTCGCCGCGGAAGGACATGGGCTCGTCGTTGTTGACGCCCTCGTAGACGACGCCGTTGGGGAACATGCTCTGGCTGGTGATGCCGAAGATGAAGGTGCGGAAGGAGGTGTAGCTCTGCGGGCGCGACTTGTCCCACATGGTCTCCATGGTGTGGTTGATCTTGCGCAGCGAGGCGAGGACCTCGGAGAGCCCCTGGTTGAGGGAGGCGCGGTCGACGGAGCCGGCGCGGGACGTGCAGCGGAGCGCGGCCATGGTGCCCTTGACGAGGGGACCGGTATTCTTGACCATGTCGATGTGGACGAGGACGAAGCCTGCCTCGGAGGACTTGGGGTCCAGGCCGTGCTCGAAGGCGCGGATGAGGCGGATGTTGTCGTAGTCCATGCCCTTGGCAGGGTCGGCGAGACGGTAGTTGTAGAGGGCATACGAG